GTCTTTTTTTTTTTTTTTCTTCAGTGACTCCTGCCCCTAAGCAGGGCTGTCCCTGTGCTAGGTTCTATCCCCTGTCCCCTGAGGCCCAAATTATACTCAAAGTTTCCTCCCTGTGGCCCTGTAAAGTGTAGTGCCATGGGAAGAGTTCTGAACAGTCAGACCTACCCTACGTCTTATGACCACATTGGGCCTCAGTTTACCTGTCTAGGGAAGTATAAGCAAAGTAGGCACCAGCTTTTCTTGCAGCCCATATCATTTTAAGCTGACACTAGAACCTGGCTTGTCACTGTGCCCTTATCATTCTCCCCAAGTCAGGAAATTGGTGCTCCACCTCCATGCCCCAGCATGGTGCCAGCTGGACCCACGAGAGGCCAGCCTAAGAACACTTTTGGGTGAATGGGATATACCCACAAGTCCTTCAGCCTCTAGCATTCATTCCTGCTTACACCTCACCGTCTAAGCCATGGAGGTGTTACCTGCTAGCTTGTAGAAAAGTAGCCAAGCCTTTTGTACTCTAGAATCAGACTTGACTTTGAATCCTGGCTCCACCACTTATAACTGTACACTTGGACCAGTGGCTTCACCTTTCTGAGCCTCCATTCCTGCACATACAGTGGAACTTACTACAAGGATATCAAGGAGTCAGTGTGTGCATTTGTTAAGTAAAGATAAAGACCATGCCAAGTGTGTGGTATGTGTAGCTTCTTTCATGTTTTAACTGTAATTGTCCCCATTTCATCAATGAGAAATGGAGGCAGGATTCAAACTCACTTCTTAACAAACTCCATTTTCTTAAACAACAGTAGACATGGCCGGGGATATACATGGTGTTCATGACGAGAACCCTAAGCTGTAATTAGGAGATGAAGTTCAACCGTCAACTTTATGGCCTTGGACAAGTCACCCTGTCCTGGGCCTCTCTTTTCACTCTGTAAATGAAAAGTGTTGGAAGGAAGGATGGCAGGATCTGTCAGAGGTACCTGGTAAGCAGTTGGCCTCGGGGCAGGTGCAGCTAGCGCTCTCTAAGCTTCCTGGTGTAGCCCATTATCTGTGTACTTCCTCTGTGGCATGTGAGGATGCTGGATTAGGTAGCACCTGGGACAGAAGCCTATGAGGTACTTTGGGGCAGGGGTTTCAGGGTGATGGGCTGAGCACAGAGGTTCCCTTGGCTACATAGGCTTTTAGATGCACGCTGGTGTGGCGCTGTGGGCTAATTTGCCAGATTGTAAAGTCATTTGAACTGCAAGGTCGGTGGTTCAAACACCAGCTGCTCCTTAGAAACCCTATACAGGGTCACTATGGGTCGGAATCTACTCAATGTCACTTAACAACAACAATAAAAAGATTTCAGCCAGTGGAAACCAGGAAGGTCCCCCCAACCAGGGAGTTGTCTTAAATGGGAAACTGGTGAGATTTTCAGCTTTGCGTGCCCCTCATTCACTTGCCTCCTGCCCCAGTCCTCTCCGCCTGCCTGCCAGATCTGTTCGGAGTTTGGGGGGAAAGGGAAGGTGGTAGCTTGGAGAAGAGATGCCTGCATCCCAACAAAGGTAAAACCCCCAAACAAGAGCCTTTTATTTTGGTCTGTCTCCTATGTCGTTTTTTGCCCAAGTATTAAGGAGTTGAAAAGCCACGAAGTTCATTTTCTTCAGACCTGCGTTAAGAATGTAAGCTGTGGCAAGAAGGTCACTGTTTGGTGTCCTAACAAAGCACAGGGCAGCGGGGTCTGTGCTGCTTTGTGGAGGTGGGATGCCCATCTGTCATCTTTGCAGATGCAAGTGATTTTCCCACATACCAGGCTCTGCTGAGAATGTGCTACACTGGGTGGGGTCCCCTCTGGTGTTTCACACGCTGTGAGAGACCCAGCCTAGGCACAGAGAACACAGTCCAGCCCTGTGTCAGTGTCTCTGCCATGTCACTCCACCTGGGGCTCTCTGTGGAGCTGAATGGAGGTGGCAGAGATGCTAAGGACAGAGCTTGGGTGGATAGGGGCAGCCCATTGGAGAAATAGTAGGTTTTCAACTCCTTGTGAGAAAAGCTTTCTAGTTCTCAGAGCTCCTATCGGTGCTAGGGCAGGATGTCCATGGAATATTGGCCTTTTGTAAGGACTGCTGATTGAGGGTCCGCCATGTGTCAGACACCGCTGGGTGCTTTACTTAATGTTTTCTCTGATATGAAATCGATTCGATCAATTAATCAACTTGCTACTAGCCTCCCCTCACAAGGGGGTACAGAGGTGTGAGTGACTTGCCCAAAGTCTTGCTGCTCACCCCGAGGAAGCGCTCAGAGCTGCCAGGAAAGGTTGCATTTCTCAGGAGGAAGAACTTTTCTTCTTGCCAAGAACTGAGGAGCCATGGAGCCCACCAAAGGCCCATTGCCCCCTCTTGGCAACTGGACCTCACCCCTGAGCCCTTCTCTGCCAGTCTTTTTATTTCCCCCTTTTGAAGGGTTGGCTTCAAATTATCTTATTTTGTTTATATTACACCCAAGTTTCGTGGTACAAAAGACTTGCAGGTGCAAATATGTCCCGCCTTCATTAACTTCCCCTCCCTTTTTAATTTATGTGATTTCAATTTTCCTTCCCTGTACTGTTAATTAGGGGACCCTCTAATCAGTGCCATTATCACAGTGGTATTCATGTTTAGGAAAGCCGCTAAACAAATGCTTGCAAAATTGCTAAATGGCTAATTAATGTCTGTTAATTAAGAAAATTGCTCATGGTAACAAACCATGCCGTTGCTGGCAGCCGCTAGAAAGACACACACTTGTTGAAATTAGTAGCGTGGCAGGTAGGGGAACATCTGCTCCGCAGGGCCTTCCGGAAGTGAGCAGCTTCTCTCGCTGGGCAAAGAAACTCACGAGCCCATCTTCAGCACCCCATTCAGGACCCTGTCCAGGCCCCACCATCTTTCTCTGCACACCTCTAATATCCTTCCATCCCATAGCCCACCACCTCCTCTCCAACCACAGCAGGAAGCTGGTTCCCTGGCTTCAACCAAGACTGAGGAAGAAACCCTACCTGGGTCTCTCAAAGATTCTCTCCTGGAGAGCGCAGTCTCTTTTTTATCTGTTTAACCATACCCATCCTCAACGCAAAGGAGCTCTGGTAGCGTAGTGGTTACGAATCCGGCTGCTAATCTCAGGTTCAGCAGTTCGAAACTACCAGCTCTTCCATGGGAGAAAGATGAGGCTTTCTGCTCCCGTAAAGATTTACAGCCTTGGAAACTCCGTACAGGGTCATTGTGAGTCGGAACCGACTCCACGGTACTTAACAACAGAACAACAATATCCCCAACACATGTTTTGAGTTTTTCTTAGAAGAAACGCCCAAGGACAACAGCACAATCATGGGCACGGCAACCATCACCAGTGTCCCCAAGTGTCCAGCCCCACGATGCCAAGGGCTAGGCAGGGAGGCGCGGGCACACTGGGACCCTTCACACTGACTGAAACCCACAGTAGGAAGTGCATTTGACATGGCATCCCAGAATGCACACATGGGTTTATATATTTACAGATGGGACAAAGGTTAATGAAAAATATCTGCCTAAAACACCCAAGGCTCTGGTATTTTTCTGTCCTATTTTTTATTCCGTTTTGGTTTTTTTTTAAATGATGGTTGCAGCCCACTAAATTGATTTTCACGACCCACTAATGGGTTGCAACCCACAGTTTGACCAACTCAGTGGTTTAAGTGCCTGTCTCTTCTGGAGGGTAGTAGAGGTCAGCGTAACCCGGGGCTTTGGAGGTTGGGTGGGAAACCCAGTTCTTCTATCTACCCACCCAACAGACACAGGCTTCCACCCCACCCCTGTTCCCTGAACTTCTGCCCACACCCCTGCCTATTCTAGAGCCTTGGACTGCAGAGGTGGGGTTGGGCCTTGGGACCATAGGGCTTCTTGTTCTGACTCTGCCCCATACCAGTTGTGTGGTCATGGCCAAGTTGCTTTATCCCTTGAGACTCAGTTTTCTCATCTATTAAAGTTTGTTGTTGCTAAGTGTCGTTGAGTGGGTTCCAACTTGTAACGACCCTATATAGGGTTTCGAGGAGCAACTGGTAAGTTTGAACTGCCAACTTTGTCGTTCCCAGTCCATTGCTGATCCTGTTGTTAAGTGTTGTCAAGTTGGTTCTAACTCATTCTGACCCTGTATAGGGTTTCTGAGAAGTGACTGGTGAGTTTGAACCTCCAACCTTGCTGTTGAAACTGATCTTACGGTCCAGTGCTTGTCCTAGAGTTACCTACAAGTGCCACAGAAACCCTACCTCACAGGACTGTTTTGAAGTGTGGGTAAATTAATGGACCATGAAGCCCCTGGCACTGGTAGGCATTTGGTAACTGTTCCTCTCTCACCATTATTTGTTCAATCTCTGGTGCCATCTCGCTCCTCTGTTCCTGGTCTTGTTCATCCATCAGTGCCTGCGGGGAGGCCTGTCTTAGCTCCCGACTCTCCTCTGTACACTCATTGCTTTGGGCCTCTCCCTCACCTGGATGAATCCTGCCTGGTGTTATCTGCAACCGTGTCTCTGTCCCTTTGGACTGTGAACTCTCTGGAGGCAGGAGCATTGCCTTCCCACATCCTCTGTGAATGTGACTTTATGTCCTCACCTTGAGGACTTGTCAGAGTGGACATCACCTGTACTCTCTGAGCCTATCTCAACTAACGTATTTAAACATGGCAAACTCTGTTCACGTGGTAGACCCCGTCTGAGCCCTTACTTCCTGTGTGGTTTGACAAAGTTGCTTGGTTTTAGTTTTTCATTCTTTCCAATCCCCTGTGAATGTACTGGTCAGCGCTTCTTTCCCCTCCTGCTCCTCATTCTACACCATTTGATCCGGTGATCCAAACAGCAGCTTCACCACTTTCCCTGCCAACCAGAGCCCACCCCCTCGCACGCCCGCCGCCCACCCTTCGTTTTGGTTTAATTTGTGTTCTTTTAAGCTTCTCCTGCGCTTCTCCATGTGCTGTGATCTATAACCTGCCTCTACTGTCTGGCCTCACAGGGTCCTCCGGGGTCACAGCCCTCGCCGCACGCACAGCCTCCACCTCACAATCCTAGCAGCATGATGGGACCCCACAGTCAGGTAAACACACTGTGGCCCGCCCGCCTACCAGCTGGCCAGGGGACGCGGGGCGCGGAGGAAGGAGAGAGCCAGCAGAGGAAAAAACAAAAATCAAAATGTGCTCTAGCCATAGCCTTCAAGTCTTTATTGACAAGCTAAGTGAAAAAAAAGAAAAAAGAATCTGCTTTTTTCTTTTTCTTTCAACAAATTTTTATTTAAGGAAAAAAAAAAAAAAAAGTCTTCGTTCCTTGGCCACCACACCCAGCTTGGATATGACACCAAAAGAAAAGACCAACTGTTTCTGCGACCTTGTCAGCCGCCTTTGCGATTTTGTTTTTGCCTCTCCCACTTTTGGTTTGGTTTTTGAGTTTGGTTAACCATTCGTTTGTAACCAAAGCTGCCTCCTTAGCTTTTCTTTGTGCACCCTTCCTGCTAAGAAAGCTTTCTTGCCCATTTCCCTGCATTCAGTTAGGAAAGCCCCCTACCCTGTTCACGTTGTGTTCCTGGACCCTCGCTCCCTGCCCCATCCCTCTTTGTCGTTGGATTTTGTGTGTGTGAGTGTATGCTTGCGTCCAGCTTTGTCTGCAGATCCTGGGGATTTTATTTACAAACCCTTATTTGTATTCTTTTATTTACCCTCGCCAAGAGCAGAGGTTGCCTCCCTTTGCCCTGCATTGATTTACCTGTTCTTTGGCGTCTTCTACAAAGTTCCCAACACTGCCCCTCCGCCCACAGTAGCTGTCTGTGAACTATGCAGAACCGGGACATGGGCAGTGTGCCGTGGATCTGTTGTTCCCTCTGCCTGAAGGAAGCTTGGCCCAGAGGGGAGAGGCCGCCTGGAGAAAAAGAGTTTAAAAGAGCATTAGTCGTAACAAAACTGGACTTTGTGGAGTGGAGAGCATTTGTGTATTTGTTACTGTGCGATGGTGCAGGCTATCATTGAACTGATTCCCTGTCATTGCAGCCTTTTATGTCACCGCGATATGCAGGCGGCCCCAGGCCCCCGATCAGAATGGGAAACCAGGTACTGTACCTTTTCATGTTCTCTCTCCCTTTACTTGGCTGCCCTTGGCCCCAAAGTCCAAAGTTAGACTTCCGGATCAGAATTTGGAAAAAGGATTAGCGAGCTGGATGGGGCGGGGCAAAGATGAGGAGGCTATTTACAAGGGGATCCCAAGAAAGAATGCACAGCCAGCACGTGTGTGCACACAGTGTTTCACCTACCTCTTCCCTGGTGGGCTTTTGGCAGCCAGTGCTGAACCCCAGTGGGGAGTAATAGGGGTGGGGAATGCAAGGTTTCCACTATTCTAGAGAAGGTAGTAATACCCCTGCCCCTCCTTCCCAACCCCTTCTTGGAAGAGGGTCTTCCTCCTTAATGAAGTTAATTGACAATGTGTTTTTTTTTTTTTTTTTTTTTTCCTGGAAGCTTTTGAGAATTACCAGGGCTGGTAAATGTAATCCTGCTATTAGGGGTAGAAATGGCCCATAGGAATGCTTAGATCAGGAGCCCTGGGTGCAGCGGGGCAGGACATTTGTGAGTTTTTCAGCAACATCTTATGGCTTTCCAGACCCAATTCAAAACAAGAAGGGATTTGTTCACATAATTGGAAAAGTGGTCTGTTTACGGGGAGGGCTTTGCAGCCTGGGGTCATGTCCTTACACTAGCCCATTAGGGTGGTCTGGAGAAATTGTCCCTTGTGCTGCCAGCCCTAGTTCATCCCATCTAAAAGATAACATGCTTAAAAGAGATTATAAAGAAATATCGGGGAAATCTCTTTTCATGAGCCCCTCCCCCATTATTTATTTATTTATTTTGGGCGGGGGGGGGGGGGGTGTATGCCAAAATATTTTTTTTCAGTGACTGCAAAGGCTCTTCAAAAAATCTTGACAGTAGCACCAGCCCAACCACCCCTAGGTGCCCTTGGACCTGGGATTTTAGTTGGCGGCTGGATCAGTGTTATATGAGTCTGTTTCCTTCTGGTCCTAAGCCCTGCAGAAAGCTACTGAGTGACCTGTTTTCAGGACCTTTGGCGAGAGATGCCTCTTCTTTGGACCAGAGGCCTCTGATTTTAAAGTTAAATGACCCAGGTCTTGCCTATCGGGTTTCCCACTTTCTGTTTTTTCCTAAAGTCCTTTGTTTGCTATATTCTCTGACATGATGGAGACAGGTTTACATAGAAGAATTAGAAGCTGCTTTTGAGCCAAAAGGGACCTTAAGATATATCACAGATGAGGAAACTGAAGGCCAGAGTGAGCTTCCCATGCTCTGGCTTCCTTCAGCTCCCAATCCAAGGATGTTTGCACTCCAGTGTACCCCATTCTGCTAGCTGCAATACCACCACCATCAGGTCGGTTCTGGCTCCTAGTGACCTTTAGGGTACACAGTACAACAGCTCCTTAGGATTTCCAAAGTTGTGAATCTTTGTGGGAGCAAATAGTTACATCTTTTTTTCCTTTAGAGTTGCTGGTGGGTTTTGAACAGCTGACCTTTCAGTTAGCAGCCCAATGCTTAGCTGCAATAGATAGTTATAAACTTGCTGCCCTGTGTTTTGTTTTTTAGGTAGTCACTAAGTAAGCCTTTGCCATTGCACACATGTCCTCTACAACAGCTTCCCTTCTGCCTACCCATGAATTCCCCTTGGCCTCAACCCCAGGGGGAGTCTAGAAGCTTCCTTAGTACCATCCTTGTGACCCTTGCTCTGGCAATTAAGCAACACAGAGAGGAAATGGGTAGGTTTCTCTATAGCAATTAAGCAAGAGCAAGTGTCCAAGCAAATGGAGAATAAATCCATCATCTGCTCCATGCATTGCAAACCAATGTTTCCAACCTCCCAACCTCTCTCCAATTGGAAAACCTGTGAACTCAAGAAATGTTTGTTTTCCCAAGAAGACCGTGCCCTGTGTGCAGTTATTACACCTGGGGACTTCTTGGAAAGGTATTGGCTAGAACTGTCAGTTGAGCAGTTGAACCTGTGTGTCACCTGCCTTGGTTCAGGTGGAGGAAGCAGAGACAGAGACTTATTCAAGCTCATATGGTACTCTATAAATTCACTTGTGGAGTGGTTAGACCAAGAGGCCACTGGTCTCATAGAGCCAGCCTCTCCCCACCTCCCTGGGTATGTAGAGAGAGTTTCAAATGAGTGTGGTGAGGTGGCTTCAGCTGGATTTAGATGAGGAGGGGGATTATCAGACAGCACTCCCACCCATGTCCCCATGGAATCTGCACCCAACCCAACTGACTGGCTTAGGTGGGCCAGTGGGATGTATTTCCTGGGCAGAAACATGTACTGTGCCTTACCCCATGGTGCAGGAGGAGGGAAGGGGAGAGCTGGTCCAGAGCACCTGCTTGCAGTCCCACACACAAGCTGTTACTTTCCTTAAGCTCTGTCAGTAGAAGGACCCCATCTCCTGGGTCTTTCTCCATCTCAGGATCACCAGTGAGGAGAGAAGGGAGAGAACCCCCTCATGTCAGAGCTCCTAGATGGCCCAGCTTTGTCCTGGAGTCCTGACATAGCAGGGTTAGGGAGTTCCAAGAAGAGCTCTGGCAGGAACTGGTGGTCAGCATTGGCCTACCTGAAGGAGGAATACTTGTCCAAGCCCCCATGCTTGTCTTCCATGATTGGATGGGACTGCTGGTTACTATACGAAGCAGAGGGTCCCAATGACCCAGAAGATCCCCATCCACCTACCTCAATATCCTGGGATCCCCCAAACCAGACCATATCAGAGGCAGGCCTCCCTCTCCTCTCACAGTCCTGTTATGAAAACTGAAAACCACAAGTCCCCAGGTGGACAAATCCTCCAGTGAGTCAAAGGGTGGGAACTTTGAGCAAGGAAGCAGGGCTGGGGGAGACTGAGAGGTTAGAGTAAGTCCAGGGTTTAAAGCGACTCAAGTCTCCCCAGGCAGGCGAACACAGCAAGTGCCATATGCCACTAGGTGACATTTGGGTCCTCCCCAGGCCCTCATTCAACTTTCCCTGATTTATCCCCTTCCCATTCCATTCTTACCTCTGAAAAAACCATGGCACAGTGTCCTTGTCCCTACCTCCTTCCGGGACCTGTGTGGAATTCACCCCTGAGCCCAAGCAGAGCAACAGTTCAGTCAGGGCACTGGGGGCATTCCTACCCACTCAGTCCTCAAGAAGCACTAGCGCTTCCAGGTCGGAACAGAGAGCTAGCTCTCTTCAAAGGCTTTTTCTCTCAAAGGCAAGGGCTTATGTGTAGTTCTGAGGGATGGGGGCCCCAGAAGCAAGCTTAATAATAATCGCACCAGTACCTGCCCTGGGCCTCTTGTGTTGGAGAGAGCGGGTCTTGTTCACCATCTCACTCCCCCCATCCCCTTGGGTTGGAAGGCGTCATTTCATGTGTTGGAAGAAGACAGGAAATTAGGAGACCTGAGTGGTTCTGCCAGTAGGGAATAGAGGACGCTTGGGTAACGCTTCTCGCCTCTGAATGATCTCTTCATCCCATGTTCCCCTTTAAAAATGGCCTCCCTTGGTTTCAGCTAGGGGGTCTTGGGCCCTGTGGTTTAGAGTTGGAGATAGATGCACAGCATCAACATGAGACAGAGGAAGATGAGTTTGATTTGAACTACAGAGACTAGAGGTGGGATGTTGATGAGGAAGTGTTCTTCTACCTCTCAGGGGTTTGTGGCAGGTACCCAGCCCACAAATATGGACAGGGCAGAGCGATGGTTCCTTTCCCACGAAGCACTGACCTGACCTACCCCCCTGTAGTTATAGCTCATGCGGCCCAGGCTGCCTACCACACCCTGGGGGGCACCCTGCTCTGGTCAGAAGGCCACATAACTAGTCTTAGGGAGACCATGAATGACCAAATGGTCCATTGAGGAGCTGGGGCAAGTGGATGCCGACTGTCACCTGCCCTCTGTCCATCTCCTCCCATCCCCTAGTTCCGGGGAGTAGCAGCTCAGCTCCTCCCGTGTCTCTTTCAGCCTCCAGGAGGAGTCCCCGGGACACAGCCATTGCTGCCCAATTCCATGGATCCCACACGACAACAAGGTACAGAGGGTGGGGCTGCCCCGGGTGCTCTGTGGAATCCACTGTCTGCCTCTGCTTCCTGCCCTCCATGACTCACCTGCTCTCTCATGCAGGGCACCCCAACATGGGAGGATCAATGCAGAGAATGAACCCTCCTCGAGGAATGGGGCCCATGGGCCCTGGCCCACAGGTAACCACCTTTCTGTCTTTCTGTCTGACTGTCCACCTTTGTGCACCCGCCTTTTCACCTCTCTTCACAGTCTGTTCACGGTGTCTTACCTCACAGGGGTGAAAGGAGAGGACATGTCCTCCAAGCCCTTTCTCTCTGCCCATGGCTGGGCTGGCCCCACAGCCAGGAACATCCCCTCAGAGTGGAGAGGCCCCCAAGAGAGTATGGGAAAGGGGCCTTCAAGGGAGTCTTGTAGTTCACAGCCCCTGAAAGGGGCTCTCATGCATGATGTGAGGAATTTAAAAGGCAAGGGGACTGATGTCCTAGCGGTGGACATCCCAAGACTTCCATTCTGAGAGGACCAGAGGCAGAGTGAAGGAGTGGCGCTCCTGGCTCTGCCTTCACCTCACCATTTGTGTGCCCTTGGACAGACCCTTTGACCTCTGTGGGCTCTGGCCAGGTTCCCCAGCACCCACCTCAGCCCAGAGTCTCTGCCAGTATTATGTACTGAGCTAAGATTTCTTTTGACCACAGGGCTCCATTGCCAAAAAGGACAGTTTGAACACCTGGAAAAAAATATTTCAAGCACCTTATATAGTACCTCTTGGAAGGAGCTCTGGTAGTGTAGTGGTTACGAATCGGGCTGCTAATCTCACAGTCAGCAGTTTGAAATTACCAGCTATTCCATGGGAGAAAGATGAGGCTTTCTGCTCCCGTAAGGTTTACAGCTTCGGAAACCCTATCCAAGGTGGCTATGAGTCAGAACTGACTCCACAGCACATGATGACAACAACAACAATGATATAATGAAGTAGTTGCTCCTCATGACCCAGCCCCATACCCCTAAGGAAGGACCACCGGACAGGGGTCAGACAGGCCATTCCTGCTCTTAAACATTCTCACTGTTGGCTGCCACCCTCAGACTATTTGAATGGAGCTCCTTTCCCACAGTAGCTGTGGCAGAGGGCTTGCTGCGTTCGTCCCTCCCTGGGAATTCTCTGGAATCTGAAAGAAGCTAAACTCTGTGGGATCTGTATGGTGAAGGGTAGAAGAGTTTTGTTTTATGGTGTCCTTTCCCTTCTTATCTGCCCTGGATGGAAGTCTGTGCTTGTCTCTCCCACCTCTGCTTGTAGATATTTAGGATTCTCTGGGCCACCTGCACAGGTTTCTACTTCCCCTGGGGGTTGAGTAGTACCCCTGAACCCCTCCCCACACACGTGCCTCCCTTTTGCAGGGAGAGGGTGGCTGCCCCACAGACCCACAATCCTCCACTTCATTCCAGAATTCTATTTACTGCAAACCCAACCCTCGGCTTTCTACACAGTGGTGGTTTGAACATCTGTGGTGTTGAAAGATTTTAGGGAGGTCCTTGTCATCCGCTGGCCCCATAATCCTAAAAGGAAGTAAGCGCACACCAATTGTAGCCCTGGTTTTCTTGTTTTTCTCTTTCCTCAAATCCCCCAAAGCCCATTGTTTCCACCAGCCACTTTTAAGCTGTTCAGAGTGGTCTTTCCTGCCATGCAGCCAGCTTGAGCTGACCTATGCAGGGCTCCCGACCAGTGACCCCATCAGTAGGGCCGGATCTGAGTCAGAAATAGCTCTTGAATCCTTTTGGCCTCAACTACGTGGTACACATACAGTTCTTGGTATTCCTTGGTGTAGAAAACAATGGCCTTGGATTTCAGAATGTCATGGGGGGAGCTGAAGTACAAGAAGGTGGGGGCTGAGGCAGGAACACTTAATTCCAACTTTTACTTCAATACACAATTATGTTTTCCGACTTGCCAACTTAATACCAACATTTAGGACTCTTATTGGCTTGGGTTTGGTGAATACTTTTGGTTTCTTTCCTTTGTTTTGGTGGTTTTTTCCTGGCAAAGACCATTTAACTACGGTTTGTTTAACCCATAGTTATATTGAAGTTCTAGAAGCTAGAAGTGGATGTTATCACACTGGCCACGGGCAGAATGTTCCAAAAGTCTAGCACTTCTTCCTGGCTTAGTGGGCATCTCATTGTATTAGTGTTCCTGACCAGAAGTCCGGCACATTCTGTCAGTGCATATTCAAGAGGTGTGGGTCCCAGAGCTTGGGATTTTGCTTTAAATGGGTCTCCTAGAGCTGTTTTCAGGTTGTGAGGTTCCCTTCAGGCCCAAGAAATACTCTAGAGGGAGAGTTCAGCTGACCCTCCCACCGCCTGCCCTGCTTGTATCCCCAACCTTAGGTTCCCGCCCCCACTTCCTACTGTGGCAGTTACACCCAGAAAAGACAGTGGCTTACAATGCACAAATACAGGCTCTAATGTACCTTCCAAACAGTGCTGCATTTTGTCATGTTTCATTTTACAGTATTTTATAATAGTGTGACCCCAACATGCTTTGCCCTTGTGACCACTCTGGATAAGGTACAGAAGGGCCTGGCATTTACGTAGGATCAGACCTGGCTAAGGGTGGTGTGTTGGAGGGGTTTCAGGGTCTGGGATCAACCAGGGCATCAGGCCATAGTGGGCACAGAGGGCCTAAAAGTTTGGGACTCCAGGGTGGACCATGGCTTCAGGTGGGAGAGGGCTGGATCCCCTGACTTGCCAGACTTCTGAGGGCCCAGCCTGGCCCTCCCAGTGTCCAGTGGGGGAAGGAGCTCTGAGGTTGATGCTGGAGAGGGTAGTTCTGACACCAGCGCAGCCAGCTTGGACCAGGGGTGCAGCCTGCTGATGATCTCCCAGGCTGGGGGACAAGGCAGCTGGGAGATCACAACCTTAGTATCACACAAGTAGGGTGTGTGTGCTCCATGATCCCACGTCCCATTCCCTTCCCGCAGGACCTGGGCTCTGCATGGAGCCCTTAGTAAGCATCACTGTATGTACAGTGTCACGCTGGGGCCCGATAGCAGGGGAAAACCTTCCAGCATGCTATTCCCACTGTGGGGTTTGATTGTTTTCAACCAGTGGCCGCTTCAGAACTTTGGGAACAAAGAAAGGTGCAGTGTGGTCGTCTCCAGCTCCTTTGTAGAATTCAAAGCTGGGCTGAGTGACATTGCAGGTTTTTGAGCCCGAAAGCCCATGGTACATTTCATCCGAAACATCACAGAGGCACCAGCAGGCCAGGCGTTCCTTTGCCCTTTGCCCTCACACCTCAGACAGCTTTCGCTCTGATTTTGTGAGGCAGCCAGTATCTACCCCCGCCACCCCGAAAGGTGATATTTTTCTCTTAATTGTGTTCTCATTTTTAAAACGTTGTGTGGATGTTAGTGTCAGACGGTAACCTTTGCCAAGTTTTCAAAAGCAAATGCAGTTAGAATGCAGCTGAAAGCACAGGGGTCCTGGCCAGCTCTGTGGAGTAGAGAGAAGATGAGCCAGCAGTGGTGCTAGTATTTGGGTGGGGCTCAAATCACCTCCGAGGCTTGTCTGCTTTGAGAAAATTTCCCAGGAAGACTGGCCCGGGATCCCTTGGGTTGATCCTGTGTCTCCCAGGAGAAACCCTGCTGACCTGAGACCAGTCCCAGCTCAATGCCTCTAAGCAGAGATCACAGAAAGATGGAAGGACTGGAAATCCTGCCCCAGAATACTTAGGGTGTGATGAGGAAGGGGTGGTACCCTTTGAGGAGCTTTCCCAGGCAGCCCCTTAGAGATCTCGTGGGGTGGTCCCAAGTGATTGGAGGGAGGGTTAGAGGGAGACAGTAGCCACAGGAAGCAACAGCAGCCCCCACCCCAGCCCCAGATTGCTCTGTCCCTATGCCCCTGGGACCCCTCAAAGAGCCTGGCTCCTCACAGAGTAGAAACTAAGACTAGTTAGGGACTTACTCATGGTGCCTCCCAAGCAAAGGAGATCCTTTGTGGAATGTGAGGCTCAGACCTCTCTGCCCAGGATCTGGGGTGCCCAAGGAAGACCCCTGTGAGTCTGGCTGGTTGTGGCTGTGCTGAGGACTCCCCTCTGTCTAGCTGGTCCTACGCAGGAGAAGCTGCACCCAAGACCTTATTTCAGCCTGACATCTACCCAACTTCACATGTGTCTTTGGGGTCTCCAGATGTCAACTGTGGAATGCAGAGACTCAGTGAGGTGGCTCCTAAAGGCTGGGCAGGATCAGGAAGCAGGATGGTGCCTGACACCACCCTTGGGGAGTGAGGTGTCTTTCAGGAGTGTGTCTCCGGTGGCCCTCTTATCCTCCCCACGCCCCACCTCAGTGCAGTCCCTTCCTCTGGGTGGGAGCAGGGTCTCACTCTGTCTGGAGACATTCCTAATGATATCTGTAGGTGAAGATTGGAGAAGGGATTTAATAGCTGCACGTGGGACCTCACAAGGGTCCCCAAAGACTTGAGCTTCAGTGATCCACAACACAGAATTTAGGACTTTGGGGTTTGTTCTGAAACTGTCATTCCAAGTCTGTACACACCCCTTAGAGCTTACAAAGCACTTTCAAGCCATCATTTCATTTGATCCTTACCAACTCCCACCCCACCCACCAAATATAAACCCCAAACCCACTGCCATAGAATCAGTTCCAATTGACTGTCCCATAACTTCGGTGCCTCAGTTAATCTTTAAGTTTGAGATGTAATGTATTCTCTTGACAATTAAATGAGAAGGTGCACATAAACCTGTAACACAGGCTGGCACAGAAAAAGAGCATGGTTTGCTGTCTATGTCACTTGTCCAAAGTCATCAGCAACTGGCCAAGCCAGGACTTGCCCTCCCAGGTTTTGGCCTTTAAAATATTTCAGGTTCTTCTCATCACTCCCCATAGCATTAGCTGTAAAGTGGGCCTAGCCCCTGCACATGGTCCAGTTGCTCTGTTTGCTAGAAGACAGGCCCACATCTCCTAGCTGTATCCAGCCCCAGGGCTCAGTCCTAATCAGGCAGCGGCAATGTGGATCCTGGCAAGCACTGACTACCTAACCTGGAAGTTGGAGAGCAGCCGTTTCTCCCCAGCCTTCCCACCCATCCGCCCCCGCTCCTCCTGACTCCAAGCCTTACTCTATGCCAACCATCTGGGCGTTTTTCCATTTCCAAGCCCCTTTGGGTGAATAAGCAAAGGAAGTGTCCTTGAGGCAGAGAACACCTGGCTAAAGAACCTGTCACAAGCATGATGTCACCTCTCACCAGACCTGTGGCTGCGAGTGTAGACCCGGGAATCACGCAGATCCAGGTTCAAACCCCAGTAGGGCCATTTGCCATCTGCATTACTGTAGGCAACCCCTCCACCCCCACTGGCCCTCAGTCCCCTATAACATGGGAGTGTACCAGCCTCATAGAGATGTTACAAGGACCAAAACCAGGTGCTGATATAAAACGTGTTAGGTGCTTACTAAGTAAAGGACAGCTAATGCTAACTGTGCCTTTGCCATTAAAACCCCACCAACCCACCTCCTTTCAATTCTACAAGGGCAGAGCTTAAGCAGCAGACAGACTAGTTTTCTTTTCTATGCGTTCACTTCTCCACCCTTTCATTGATTGGTTCACCTTAGACAGATGGGACACCCGGTCTGACACATGAAGTGACGCCCCCACTACCCATGACACTCACACACTTGTACACCAGTGTTCATCATAGCATTCCTCATAATAGCCAGAAGGTGGATACAACCCGAGTGTCCATCACCAGATGAATGGATAAAGTATAGCTTATCCATACAGTGAAATGTTGGCCATCAAGCGAAATGAAGCTCTGACACACGCCACCTCGTAGACTGTGCTAAGTGAACAAAGTCCAGATACAAAAGGACAAATGTTCCACCTATATGACATGTCTGGAACAGGCAAATTCCTAGAAAACAGGTTAGAGTTAATCGGGTAGGGGAGGTAGGAATGGAGAGTTTGTAGCAGTAACAGTTTCTGTGTGGGGCGATGAAAAAGTTTGGTTGTACTACATTGTGACTATAGTTAAGGTCATTGAATTATGTACGCTTGAAAGTAGGCTAATGTGGATATTTTTGTTACTTACATTTTACCACAATTTTTTTTTTTTTTTTTTTTTTGCCAAGTAGACTCCAGTGGGAGAGATGGTTATGTGGCCATAATCATAACTAAGAGATGAGGACTATGTAGAAGGGGATTGCCAAGCATTGTGGGAGCATTTATTCCTGCAACAAAATAATATGTGCAGAGGAAAGGTGAAGCAGCCTAGAATCAGTTGTGGTAGATGCCCCAGGTGAAATTCCAGGAATACCTGGTCCATACACTCTGGGACCTGCCCCACTCTGCCTCATGGATGTCAGATTCCCAGGAACTTGTGAGTTCTGTGTAGACTCTTCTCAAATGGAACGATGAGGCCCGTGAGTTGTAGAAAGGGGAGATTCCTCCTCTTCCCCTCGCATTGTGCCGATGCCTGACCTAGGCCAGGTGGCTTGACCAAGGGGGAATGGGGAGAGAGGGGTAACCAGGCCTGAGACACAACGGACTGGGAGCACGCCTCCCCTTCCACCTGTCCCACGCCACTCTCCTAGCCCCCAGCTCTCCCTCACAATTTCTAAAGCATTTATGTTTGCCAGATGAGTCCCATTACTAAGCCAGTTCTTTGTACCTGCCTGAGACCTATGGGGAACAGCATCTTCAGAGCCCAGAGGTGTGAGCGACTTGCTTGACATCCATGTGTTTTTTGTTTTTGTTTTTGTTTTTTAAATCATCTGAAGCTCCTGAAAATAGATTTAAAGCTGTGACTGTTCCTCTGTGCTGGCTTGTCATTGTCCCCATCACTCAGCCCCCACCCTCCCCCAACCTTTTTTTTAAAGAATGTATTATTTCTCATCAGTTCCTTTTCACAGACTAACCCTCTCACTTATATTCTGTCTGTTTTTCCTCCCTCCTTCTCTCTCCGGTTTCCCTTCTCCTTCTCATAGACTGACCCTTGGTTATCGTTGCAGAATTACGGCAGCGGCATGAGACCACCACCCAACTCCCTCGGCCCCGCCATGCCCGGGATTAACATGTAAGGCAAACACTGCTTGGCTGGCGGCTCAAAGCCCATGACTTTTTCCCCCCTGGAAACCTCCCGGAAGACTCGTTATTTGAGTAATTACCGGCACCTCTCATCAGTAAAATGAGGATGTTGAATCGGGTGATTTGAGCTTACCCTCATATAGCGTTTCTACGTGCCAGGCGTAGTCCTAAGAACACTGAGGATTAGCTCACCTAATCTTCATAGTAACCCTTCAAGGCAATAATTACCCATTGACAGATGAGATATCCTAGGCACAGATGGGTCAAGTAACTTGTTCAAGGCCACACAGCTTTAAGGGAGAGAGTCAACATTTGAACCCTGGGAGTTTTTTACTCCACAGCTTATACCATTGTCTGGTGTTCTCTCATGTGGTGGTAGTGTTAAGTGCCACTGAGTCGGTTTCTACCTGTGGCTGGTGGATTTTAACTTCCAGCTTTGTGGTTAGTAGTCCAATGCTTATATTACAACATTACACTAGGACTCCTCTGATGTGTTAATGGTTGCTAACTCCTTTTGGGGAAAAACCCTTTGAGAATCTGTGGACTCTTTCCCTATAAAGATGCATGTGCAAAGCAAATGTTAGAAATTTACAAAGTTCATAATCATTGAAAGGAATTTGTCAGTTACCATTCATGGCTCCACAGTACTAGCCTTGAGTACAGGACCCTAGAATTGTATGAAGGAGTTCCTCGTAATGATTTCTGGCCTCGCTGGCACCACCCCGTAGCATGTACAGCC